CTCTGTTGCCCCCTTGTGCAGGTTTTCATTTCCTCTTGGTTTCCTCCTACTTGGTCTTACTCACACCTGCTCCCAATCTGCTGATCAGCCTGTCTTGGTTCATTGTCCCATAGTAACACCACCTCTGCAGTCACTCACTGCTGGTTTGTTGTGTTTGTTGCTTCCTCATCTCTCGTTCCCCACACGAGTTCTCCATAACATTTTAGTTATCTGTATTTCGGTTCTCAGTATTTTTTTTGCATTTTTGTATTTCTGCCTCAGTTACCAATTAAATCTGCAAGACTCAACTCTGCCTCCTGATCTCTGCCTTTGGGTCCTCAAAAACCTCCATCCAACCATGACACAGATATTTAAATGAGATTTTTTTCCAACTTATTTAGAGGCGTTTACCCCCAAAGAATTTTATTAATGATAAAATGCAATATAAATGTCAGTGGTTACAGTTTAGATGTTTTTCTCCACAGAATGAAACAAAGCTATGGAAGTAAAACGACCAGCTCTAATACGTATCTTTAGAAGTACTTCTGGTGTTTATTTTCAGGTGTTAAAAAATATTTATATTTTTAATTGAATAAAAAAAATTAACATATAAAGCAACCCATATGGAGCAAATGCAAAGTTTGATAAATACTTCAATGATTTCAAAGCATTTGATCCATAATAAACATTTTAAAATACAAGATCAAAAATTTTCAGCAGATTGTTTTGTTTTCCAAAAATAAGAATTAATAACTAGGTTTAATTCTATGATAGCATCAATTTTGCTCTACTTTATTGTGTTTGAATTTTGCTGATCCAATAATTTACAGGTTCACATATTTCACTCTCATAGTTAAATAAAGTGGATCTCCTGGTCAGGGTTGTCCCTATTTAGGATAAACCTTCAAACTATTGCCTGAAAGTGGAAGCTTTTCAGACAAAATGCTATCAATGCGAAAACGACCTAGAAATATGCAAACATTTCTTAAATTAAGTGTATTTCCCCTAAATTCTGTCAGTGAGCCCCAGGGCAACTGTGGCTACAATGTAGCTTGCCACCATCAGTGTGTGAGTGTGTGCGTGAATGGGTGAATGAATGTAGTGTAAAGTGCTTTGGTCAAGTCTCCTGACTTGAAAAAAGGTGCTATATAAGTACATGCCATTTACCATTTAATTTGATTAGGTTGATAAGATGATTTGCTGGTGGAATGAGTACTTTTAATCTTAGTTAATATGCGCTTGAAAGAAGACATTGCAATTGTTTTTTTCTTATTTTAAATGTAAATAATCTTGTTCTATTGGCAAAGTGTCTCACTTACCTGCTCAGTTTACTCGAAAAAAATAAAAATGTCTTAAATTAGGTGTATTTAGCATTATTTGAGTAGGTAAATGAGATCGTTTGCCAATGAAATTAGGATTTTTACTCTTAAAGTAAGATAAATTTAAATTAATTTAATGAGGTAATTATTATTTAATTAGATATATTATTTAATTAGATATAATTAGATAACATGCACTTGAAATAAGACATTGCAATTGTGTCTTATTTTAAGTGTAAATTGACTTGTTCCACTGGCAAAATGCATTTTCCAAAATAATTATATAAGAAAAATTCTCATGATTTCAAATGGACTAACAAAAAAAAAAAAAAGACTCCAGCAACTCAGGTGGACGATAGTTTGGTCATTGATTTACATCTGATTTGGAATGTGTTTAGGAGGATGGAGCTCAACGCTGCTTAAAAAATGTCAGCAACTAAAGATGGC